GATGAAAATCATGGAGAGTGAAGATTATCATATAAATTCTGGACGAACATTTGGATATGTAGATTTTGGATTCAATGTCGAAACTGATTGTGAAAAAATGGCCTCAGAAGTATTGGTGTTTTTGTTAGTAGCACTAAATGAATCCTGGAAGGTCCCGATAGCTTATTTCGCCACAGCAGGGACAAATGCTGAACAGAAATCGAAACTTATATTGATAGCAGTAGAGCTAGTGCAAGCAAGTGGTGTGGAAATAAAAACGCTTACATTTGACGGCCACAAGTCAAATTTAGCTACAGCCAAGAAATTGGGATGCTGCTTAGATATAGCAAGTCTAAAACCCTTTTTCAAAAATCCCGTAAATGGAAATAATATTTATGTCTTTCCAGACCCATGCCACATGCTAAAAAATGTAAGAAACGCTTTCCAAGCATACGGAAATTTTGAAGATTCTGAAGGCAGAGAAATCAATTGGAAATATTTAGAAGAATTACACAATTTACAAGATAGTGAACTGTTCCATTTGGCGAACAAGTTGCGAGCTAATCACATTTATTTTAGAACAAAAATCATGAATGTTCGACTTGCATCTCAGCTATTTAGCGACAGTGTAGCTGATGCATTATTATTCTGTGACACGGAGCTTCGAATCCTTAACTTTTGTGGTGTTAAAGCTACGGCAGAATTTTTGAAGAAAATTAATATTTTGTTTGATATTCTGGATTCCAGAGTTCATCAGTATGGATTCAATCATCATCATCATCATCATTACAGCCCTTCACAAGTCCACTGCTGAACATAGGCCTCCCCCAAAGAATGCCACAAAGCACGGTCCTGAGCCACCTGCATCCATCGACTTCCTGCATATCTTACCAGGTCGTCACTCCATCTAGTGGGGGGACGCCCTACACTTCGCCTGCCGGTACGAGGCTGCCACTCGAGAACCTTTCTTCCCCATCGGTTGTCGGTTCTTCGAGCTATATGGCCGGCCCATTGCCACTTCAGCTTACTAATCCGTTGGGCTATGTCGGTCACTCTAGTTCTACTGCGGATATCCTCATTTCTGAGTTTATCACGCAGAGAAACTCCGAGCATAGCCCTCTCCATAGCTCGCTGAGCGACCTTGAGCTTCCTCATCCGGCCAGCAGTGAAGGACCACGTCTCAGTTCCGTATGTCATCACTGGCAACACGCACTGGGTGTACAGTCTCGTTTTCAAGTTTTGAGGTATACCTGACGAGAAGATGTGCCGTAATTTCCCGAACGCTGCCCAACCGAGTTGAATCCGTCGATTGACCTCTCGGTCGAAGTTGGACTTACCTAGTCGGACTATTTGTCCCAGGTAAACATACTCGTCAACAACTTCGAGCTTAGTGTTCCCAACAACTACCGGCATAGGTGTGACATGGACATTAAACATGATCTTTGTTTTGTCCATGTTCATCTTAAGACCTATCCGTTGGGAAACACTATTGAGGTCATTGAGCATAGTGCTTAGGTCCTCCAGCGATTCTGCCATAAGGACTATATCGTCGGCAAATCGAAGGTGAGTGATGTACTCGCCATTGATGTTGATACCGTATCCTTTCCAGTCCAGAAGCTTGAAAACATCTTCCAATGCAGCGGTAAAGAGTTTCGGGGATATGACGTCACCCTGTCTTACACCTCTCTGCAATTGGATAGGTTTCGTACTCTGGTTCTGTACTCGGATAGCCATCGTAGCCCTACTGTACAAGCACTTCAACACTTCGATATACCGACAGTCAACTTGGCATCGCTGAAGGGACTGCAGCACCGCCCAAATTTCGACGGAATCAAAGGCTTTCTCATAGTCCACATACGCCAGACATAGTGGCAAATTGTACTCCTCGGACTTCTGTACAATTTGCCGAAGGGTATGTATGTGGTCTATGGTGCTAAAGCCTTTTCGGAAACCAGCTTGTTCGGGAGGCTGGAAGTCGTCAAGTCTGCGCGCGAGACGATTCGTAATGACTCTCGAAAACAGCACGTAGACGCGGCTCAGAAGGGAAATCGGTCTGTAGTTCTTCAAGAGAGCGTTGTCGCCTTTCTTGAAGAACAAGACCACCGCACTTCTGCTCCACGCCTCCGGTGTAATGCCACCATGGAGGACGGAATTAAAGAGCTTCTGAAGGACTTCAAGTACCGGTTTTCCACCCGCTTGCAGAAGCTCCGCTGTAATTCCATCCTCGCCTGGGGCCTTGCCGTTTTTAAGGTGCTGGAGAGCCATTCTAATCTCGCTCAGACTGACGTCCGGGATATCATCGGAATAATGTCGGATAAGAAGTATGGATTCAAACGAGCAATGAATTCTGAAAATTATGAAGCGGCCTTTAAAGTCCTGGAAGAAACGACAAAATATTTAAAAACATTAAAACATAATGAGACAAATATTATGGAAACGCTTCGCTTTACTGGCTTTCTTGGGTTCTGCTTATGTGCTGAAAGTGCTAAGGGACTTTTTGAAGACCTAGTAAAAAAAGACAATCACATGACATACTTGCCTTTCCATATAAAATATCTCAAGATCACATTGAAATATTTTTTAGTAATATACGTAGTCATGGAAGATGCAATGATAACCCAACCATCAAGCTATTTGAATCAATATACAAGAGAATGCTAGTTCACTCAGAACTTATTGATGTAGATTCAGGGAACTGTGTACCGTTGGAATACATTACAATACTTAACTGCTCATCTAAATGACCTGTCGAGAGAATAAATATGACAACAGCGAGAAGTAACAGCGACAACCAAACTTTGCATTTAACCCCGGATAATGATGAACTGCGTCATGTCATCACGCCTTACGGACAAAAGTTGGTTGAATATATTGCTGGTTTTGTAGTTCACAAACTTTTGAAGTCATTAAAATGTGAAACTTGCACGTCTGCTCTCCTCCCTCAAATTGACATCAATGAAGGCAGTCTCATTGCCCATAAAGACAAGGGAAAACTGATACATCCCTCAAGTGACACCATAGCTATTTGTCAGCACTGCGAACTCGAACTTAGGAAGGGTGTTCAAAATAAGAGACTAAAAAAAGATTACACAACAGACTTTCTCCTGCCGAAAGTAACAGAAACATTGCTGCAACTTCCGTTGTACGACGACATTAATTTCCACAAATTTGACGACGACGTAAATCACGTCGAAGAATTAATGAAAGCCGTTGCTGAATATTATTTAAATATTAGAATTGCTTATATAAGAAAACAAGCCAACAAAACAAGTTCTAAGAAACACATTTTAAGAAAGATGATACATAATAAAAGTCAGTAAACCTATTTAAATAATTTAAACATTACAAAAAAAATTGACGTTTATAATAACTATAATTGAATAAAAAGTCCATAACAATGTCCTGCTTCTTTTATTTTAATTAAGTTTAAATATTGTAAGCTTACCTCACCTTCATTCTCCCTTTATTTCCTTTGTCTTACAGCTTAGCTTATTTACGATTATGCATTTTCTGTATAAATTATAAAATATATCGATGAACGAATGAGAAATCGTTCATCGATATATTTTATCGGCTACGTTCAAGCACTAGAAATAGAGTTACCTTCTACGAATTTTGTATCTGTTTATATTAACGTAATAAAATATTTGTGTGGGTTATTCTCCACTTGGTTGAACGAGTTTTCATACATTTGTGTTTTATGTCGGGTCCAGTGGTTAATTCGTTCAAGAAAATGACTAGGTGAACGACGTAGATTTGACTATCTGTACGTATAGTTACTCAGATTATAGAATTTCATAGGAATGTACGAGGATCACGTTTATCTCTTCATCATTTCAAAATTATAATTTATGTCCATAGGTAAAAAATTTACTTCAAAATATGTAAACTCCTGAATTTTATTTCAACTAAACTTTCTTATTCGTATAGCCTATACAATGTATATTTTGGTATTTATTTATGTATAGTATACATAAATAAATGCCACTCATACTCACTCACTCACTTACAAATGACACAGTTTGCGGGATACGATTGTCCATCCTTTCATCAATCGATGTCGATCGATAGATGTGGTATCTGATCGACGGATACTGGTCGATAAAACATTGTTAAATCATCGATCGACAGTTAATCGATGTGGTTGTGGGCTCATCATCAGTATCTTTCAAAATGTATTCAAAAAGTACAATAACGACGACTGGTTCTCGAATAAACCAGCAGCTTGATCGACGTCGCCTAATCCATTCCACCATCGATCGATCGAATGGTTACAACATCCTAATTGTCACATATCTATTTAACTTCTCAAACCATAGTACACTTGCCTACGATGCGTACTGAGTGACCGGTGCGAAGTGTGCGCTCTATACCTAATGAATGCATACTCTAAGATATAAGAATAAAAAAAATTGCGTTATAAGGTAGGACTTACTTTCAAGTGTGAAAATAGTATAAAACGAAAAAACCGAGTTCATTATTTAATTAGAAGTAAATCTTAGTTTGTTAATAATTTTGTAGTTTTATTAGTATCACTGAATAAACTTAAAAAAATGTCATATTATACTTAGCAGTTATATTTAATGTACACGTAAGAAAATATTAAATGCAAAGTAAAATGTGTGTAACGTGAATAAATTGTCTATTTTTTTGTAGAAAATTATGCCTAAAAAGTATGTCTTAATTTTAAAAAACAAAATTAAATAATTGAGCTGAGCATTTAAGAGTGTTCCTTATACATTGTGAGAAACATAGCAATTAATAAAATCGGCTTTAGTTTCGATAAAAATGAACATAATATTAACACTGAAACGTGAATATTTAAAAACATTCCCTTACATCTAATTTAATACTAAAGTCTGTATCTGTATCAAGAATTAATGTAAGGCATGTGGTTATGGTTATTGGTAATTTATGTTTCCCTTTCAAATTGACACAAATGAAATAGACATATATACATTTTATACACTTGACTGCATTGCATATTATATAAGTTTACATATCATATTGAATTTTGTACCTTATTCTATAATGAGGCATCTCGGTAGGTGTTCATGAAGGTAGTCAAAGAGTTCCGGCGAAGCGCCAGGGCAATTAGTGAGTTCCAATTCTCGTAACTGACGCAGCTGGATAAGGCTTGATAGACCTCCTGACGTTAACAGCGGACATCCTGTGGGTATTACAATGTAAGAACAATTTTAAAAATATTGAAGAGATTAAATAGCCATAACATGTAACTCCTAAGTCCAACTTCCCAAATTCCTTAAGAAGTTTTATATCATCATTTGTTTATTCGGCCAAGACATTTAAGACGTTATTATTAAAAATAATAATAGTGTGAGAGCGGATGTTTAAGTTGCTCTCACAATTCATTATAATCAGCAAAAAAAAACAGAGTACCGTACAACACATTCAATGTAGCGTAGTTACAAATCAACCCATGCTGTAGTATGTGCCGGTCATAATCACACATTAATGTAACATGATATACGTAATTACTTGGTAAAGGCTCGTCTAAACGGATCATATTTTCTGACACTTTGTGGCTGCAATACTGTGGCCGCCAACATTGCTAGCTATGCCAGTCATACTATGCAATATTTAAAGAATCGTCCGGCAATTTTAACCACATATTTTTTTGTATATCAAAACATTTTCATGTGTAGCTGGCGTGTGGACAAACGATCGCCTCGCAATCGAAAATGCTGCAATGTTGCTGGGCCATATATATTGTTGTTTCGTTTTACTGTATATGCGCATCCCTTTTTCTCTTTCAATGTTACGTGAAGTACACTACACATCACTTTCTGCGCGACGTGAAGTGTGCTTCGAAATAATCGCGTCGCGATAGTATAGTTAGCTGTGATAAGCTTGGGGAAAAGTGTTATTTTTTAATAACCGTGACTGTCGTTCCAGTTACATAAAAACAGTGAAAAATCACTGTGACTTTGTCATTTCGATTACTCATTAGACAGGGACAAAAACTTTATTTTGCTACGCCGACACCGTGACGGTTGTTTCGGTTACAAATAAGTTCTACGGAATCCAGTGTCACGCCTACTAAGTAGGGGTACCCTACAGTACCTACTACTAAGTAGGTATTGTAGGGTCGAATCCGCATTTGAGTTCTATTTTTTTTTTTGTATTTCTGCCAAAACAATGTAAGCGGATGCGATGAGCGTCACTTCGTCAGCCATTGTTGCCCGATTGTAAGGCCCATTTAGGAGTCAAAATTATTTATTTATTTATTTATTTGGCATAATGTGTGTGTTTTACAGTTGTTATAGAAAATATAGTACAACACATTAACCATTTCTGGTGCACAAAATTATTGAATTTTATAAACATTAAGTATGACATTGAGTCCAAATTATGGGCAAACTATTGCAGCCATATTGCAATATGTAGCCATAAAATGCAATAAAATGTTTTTGTGATGGCCTGGCAATGTTTGCCAATATTGTAGCTACATTTTATCGGAAAATATGGCCCGTTTAGACGAGCCTAAACTCCAATGTAGATTCAGCATGCAGACTAAGTGCAAGATTGTCTCTCACGATGTAGCACTGATTGGCTTCACCGCTTTATATTATTTACTTCTTTTAGCGGAATAACAACAATTAGACAGAATGCCCATAACAATTTTTCATTTCTAAAAATTACTTAACCGAAATTTCCATTTGTCATAACTTGTTCCATCAAAAATTTGAAATATAAATTCGTCTTCTTTCCCCATTTTCCCTAACGCTTATTCCTACACCTGATTTCAATTCAACCCAATCTTGGACCGTCGACTGCTGCTACTATGTTAAAATATCTGTGCAGATTTGAATAAGACATGTTTTCTTGTTTAACTTGTTTTATCATATAATATAACTGAACTTATATCATAATACTGAACTATCTTTAGAAAGCAAGAAAACGCCCATAGAGTACATTAATGCAGAACAATGTTATCATCGTAAAAACTTCCCTAATACTTATATGAGGTACAAAATCATGTTGTTAACATAAAGTGTAATATTAGAGTATCAAATGAGCTGACTGTCCACCTGATATAAGTGCTATAGATATGCTGATTTCAGCTTGTTGAAACAATTGTCTGGGTTTTGATGTTATTGTTTTACTTAACTTTTAAATTGCGTCTTAAATATACAAAAGTCAAACATTTTTTTTAAATATAAATTATATGTTTTTGTTTATACATAAGCTGCACTAAAAATATCGGGAATGGAATATTTCCACTGTTCCTGTCATATTAAAATCTTTTTAATTGAAAACTCCTTGGTTTTAAAAATCGTATACCATTTATTTATTTAAAAAAAGATTCTCGGTCTTGTCACAAGGTTTTGTCAAACTTGTTTAGTCGTTGAGAAAATGGAATTGACTCGAGAAAATTCAAGAGCGATGATTTATTATGACTTTCGAAGTGGTTTAACACAAAAATATTGTGTTGACCGGATGATTTCTGCATTTGGTGATGAAGCCCCATCTAAAACCACAATTTATCGCTGGTTTGCTGAATTTCAACGTGGACGTGTCAAGCTCAGTGATGATCCCCGTAAAGGTCGTCCAAAAACTGCAGTCACCCAAGAAAACATTGATGCTGTGCGTAAGCTGATTGAGGAAGATCTACATGTGGCATACCGCGAAATTCAGGCAACTTTAGACATTGGCATGAGTCAAATACAAATAAACTTGCATGAACAATTAGGTGTAAAAAAGTTGTTTTTCCGATGGATACCGCATTCGCTCTGTGAAGAGCAAAAGCGGCTCGCGTTACTTGGTGCGTCAGAACTCTCGAAAGATTCCACGCAGGATCCTCAAATGCTGTATACAACATCGTATCAGGTGACGAATCCTGGATATATGCGTACGAACACGAAACAAAAAACCAGTCACGAGTTTGGGTGTTCGAAAATGAGTTAAAGCCAACAAAAATTGTTCGTTCACGGAGTGTTGCAAAAAAAAAATGGTGTCCACGTTTGTCTCCAAAACCGGCCATATTACGACTATTCCGTTTGAGGGACAAAGAACGGTTAATGCAGAATGGTATGCTAGCATTTGTTTGCCACAGGTCGTTTCTGAACTCCGTAAAGAGAACTGCAATCGCCGCATCATCCTCCATCACGACAATGCGAGTTCTCACACCGCACACAGAACAAAAGAGTTTTTAGAGCAAGAAAACATAGAATTATTAGACCATCCGCCGTAAAGCCCCGACCTAAGCCCTAATGATTTCTATACTTTCCCTAAAATAAAGAATAAATTGCGTGGACAGAGATTTTCATCACCTGAAGAAGCTGTGGACGCCTATAAAACGGCCATTTTGGAGACCAAGACCAAGAACAAGACCGCCCCTTTTTAGCAAGACCAAGACCAAGACTGACCGTGCAAGATTTGCGCAAGGACAAGACTTAGCTTGCGAGACTCTTGCGTCTTGCAGTTAGGACTAAGTGTCGTTTCAGGGAGTATAGGAGTTGGGGTATACGCTTAGGGACTCTATGAGACGCAAAAAATATAATGAAAAAAAAATTTGGAAAATTGGACTTATGCGCATTACGAACAATACCATAAATATACATAGCGAATGAAAATATCCATTAAAAAAAAAGAGTGCATCCCTAGTTTTGACTATCGGCACTTTGATGGTGCGCGGCGTCTTGTTGTCGGCGTCATCAAAGGTCGGATACTGACCTGTCAAAGAAATTATGCAGCTATTCGAAAGTACAAGGTCAAGATACACATGCCGGCGGCTACTATTGATATCGCATACAATCGTCACCACCGCGCCACACGCACTACATTTGACACTGTTTGATTGCTGCCACAGAGTACATGTTTCAAAGAATAAAATAAGTTTCCGGGTGCTCAGAATGGACACGAATACATTATCCTGATCTCGCAAGAAATCTTGGGTACGACTTTCCATTGACTCCCATCGAGTTGGGGGATGATCAGGCGTCAGTTTTATGGTAGGATTAGATATAAACAATGCAAGAATAATTGATTTTCAATAACTTTTTTTTTTCAAAAATTACGCATTTCCGCATGTTGTAACTTTGTGTGTGTGCTTATAATAGTGTAACTTTTCTGTAAAAATACGTATCAACCCCCAACTCGACGGGAGTCAATGGAAAGCTAAGCCTAATCTTGTAATTAGATAATAGGTAGGTATCATAATAATTTATTCTAGTAAGTAATTATTATAAAATTAACTATATGGATTTATAATAATTACTTACTATTATTGTTATTATTATTACCTAAAAGATAAACATGTTCAGTAAGTTCACTGCAAATCTCGACTTTTGCAAGTGTGTGTTTTTAAAACACAAAGTGCTCGAATATGTCGTCACACATTTGATAAATATGGTTGACACCATAGCACTTTTAAAACACTTGAAATGTGTAAAAATGGATCTGGATCTTGTCTTCAAGGCTTAGTTATTAAGGAGTTGGAGGGGTACCTAGGTAAACCCAGAGTCATCTCTGAAGACATTTTAGACTGTTGGAGGACGCATGAGACAAAATATCCGATTTTATCGAAGATGGCCCGTGATTTTCTTTTAATACCTGTAACTTCAGTACCTGCTGAGAGATTATTTTCTAAAGCATCATTAGTAATTAGAAAACATAGAAATAGGTTAAGTGATGAGTCAGCCAGATGGTTACTTTGTATTAATGCTTTGTCAAAAGAATAAATATAAAGTAACAGTAATGTCAAAGCTGTTGTGTACATACTGTGAAGTAATTTAATTTGCATCGTATTTTATTTTTTATTTAAATAAATTGTATATTGTATAACTCTTTTATTCCATTTCATATATGGTGAGGGTCTATCAATCTCTTTCTAGAGAAATAATGTTATTTAAAATACAGTGTAGTTATTGCCATTAATTTGTTTTTATACATATGTTTAACCATGTTTTAGCACATGTAAGCTATTTATTAAGAAACTGACGCCCGTGGCCAGAGTTGGTTAGAGCATCGGCACGGATCGCTTAGGTCGTGGGTTCAAACCCCACCTGGTGTCAGTTGATTTTTCGAATTTCTCATTAAATGTTTAGACATTTATTAATATGGTTGGTCTTTACTATGGCTATGTTAATTCAAGCTCAATATGTACCTACTCTGTTAAGTTGTTCTAAGATCTAAAGTAACGTTTAATAAATAGTAATAGGCTAATAGGTCATTGCGAGACTTGCGAGACTCTTGCTGCAAGACCAAGAACAAGACCAAGACTGGGAGCGCAATACCAAGACCAAGAACAGGTGTATTGGCGCAAGACCAAGACCAAGACTTGCTAAGTCTCGTCTTGTTCTTGCATTTGGGCAACACTATTCCGAATGGAATGGTTACTTCAATGATTGGTTCGATCGTATGGAAAAATGTGTCAAATTTCGCGGACAATACTTCGAAAAGCAATAAATACATTTTTAAATAGTAATGTTGTGTCACTTCCTTGATTCCCGAAATTTTCAGTGCCGCCCTCGTATTAGTCGCGATGCGATACAAACGAGCATGCGGCTCACCTAATGCTAAGTGACTGCCGCCGCCCATGAACAACTGCAACACCAGGAGAATTGCAGATGCGTTGCCGGCCTTGTAAAAAAGAGTGGGCTCTTTCCTTGAAGGTCCCTAAGTCGTATCGGTCCAGAAAAATCGCTGGTAGTAGTCACGTTGTGCAAGGAAATAAACCATTTCTAAATCGCACAGTCATCATCATCATCATCATCATCATTACAGCCCTTCACAAGTCCACTGCTGAACATAGGCCTCCCCCAAAGAATGCCACAAAGCACGGTCCTGAGCCACCTGCATCCATCGACTTCCTGCATGTCTTACCAGGTCGTCACTCCATCTCGTGGGGGGACGCCCTACACTTCGCCTACCGGTACGAGGCTGCCACTCGAGAACAATCGCACAGTGGTAAGGTATATTTTTAACAATTTAATGGGTTAGAAGGTCATTGTACTTTCTGCTATAAAATTCTTGGGCTGTATAAGAACTGGCGATGATGAATGCTTATTAATATAAATATGAAAAGATATTGAAAATAAAGTGTATAGTACCTGCTAATGACAGGAGTTGCAGAGAGCGCATTCCACACAAGTGTTGTACACCGAAGTCACGCAACTGTGAACACCAACGTAGGAACAGCGCCACAAGTGACTGCATCGTACTAATGTATCCAACTCCTATATCCGTTATATGCACACATCTAAAAAATAATAAGCACTATAAATAATCTAGATACACTGATAAGCCACATCGTTTTATAAAACGCAAAATAGCAGCTTAATACTGCTGTTTCATATGGTAAGTGTGCCATCACAGATTAAATAATGTTACTACGTAAGAGAAGATTGCACGAGGACAAACATCCAGACCCGGAACAATTATTTGTAAGCCATAAAAATACTTGTTCCGTGTGGGATTCGAACCTGCGCAACAACTCATTGCTAAGCCACTGCGCCAGGCAGCCGTCTTTATAGAGTTTTATAAATTAAAGCTATTTATTATTTTATATAAAATTCTCGTGTCGCGGTGTTTGTTACCAAACTCCTTCGAAACGGCTGAACCAATTTGTATGAAATTTTGTGTGCATATCGGGTAGGTCTGAGAATCGGCCAACATCTATTTTTCAAACCCCTAAATGATAAGGGTGACCCACACCTAAATATTTTTTTTTATTTGTTTGCCAAATTTATTTTATTTTAATTTTATTATGATTTAGCATTGAAAAATACATAAAACTTCAAATTTTCACCCTTCTACGATCAACCTCTATTTTTTAATCAAGATTTTTAAAAGTAAAAATATCTCTTAGAAATAATGTATATGGCAAAACAGCGTTTGCCCGGTCAGCTAGTTATTTTTTTTAAATATGATGCAGTTTTATAAAATAATAAATAGCTTTAATTCCTTCTCTGAATTATCTTTTACTAAAATTAACCCCGCTAATACTTGTACTCTCAGAAGTGGTTCAAGGTCGCGCGTGGTTAATTGCTTAAAACTTTTAAGCATTTTATTTACGAAGTGATCAAAGTTAGTTTGCGGTTGTTTCAGTCCGATATTTGATAAGTATGTATTGTTTCAAGTTACGAGAGAAAATATAAGAAAAATAAAGAAACTTAAATATTAATTTTTAGTTTAGAAGTGTCATAAATTAAATTGGCGTGACTCCATTAAGTTCAAAATTGCATTTTCTATCTGTTAAAAAATAATATGAACATTTCAATGGTTAAATTTATTAAATGTGTAATTTATTTTTAACTCTTTATTATAATGGTTTAAAATGCCTTTAAAACGCGAGACCTTGAGCGAGGGACGGAACCATGGTGCCGTGAGAGAACCGAACCGGAGACCATTTTTACTGGATACGAGGCATTCCATCCCAGTAGACATGAGCGCCGCGCCAGCGCGCCGCCGTCGGCGTGAGTTTATGTCGGCGCGTCGCCGCCGCGTGAAGCACGTGGCGCGCCGTTGCGATGAGTCGCAACTTCCTTTCCCGCTTACATGCGCGGCCCGACTGCATTAGTTTGCCTTGTCGCCTCGCCACGCTTGTCGCTCACTCAGTCGAGTCTAATATTTCACCGAGTGAACGTGTATTGTTGTGTGGTGTTAACAATGGACCTCACAGAATACCGGCATGAAGTGGAAGTTCTGCTTCTGCATTTCATCTGGCAAAATTCCGCTCAAGACAATAACTGCTCGGGGCAAGCTGAGCAACAAGGCCGAGGCGATCCCAGCCACGCTATCCGTGAATTTCTGCAACATCAGGGGACTTCCCTCGAACCTAAATGCTGTCCACTACCATCTCGAGATGGCGAAGCTGGCCTTGCTCTTATTGACCGAAACACAGGCATCTTCTCCAGCTGATACTTCGTATATCTCCTATCCGGGATACAAACTGGAACACCCCTTTGTGCCTAGGGCTGGAGTTTGCGTATAAATTAGAGAGGCCATCTGTTCTCGACGCCTCGGCAAGTCTTGAAGGTTCGGACCTGTCCAGCTTTTGGCTAAGCGTAGGGAGCGACGACCATCACGCGTCTACGGTTGCCTCTATAATTCCCATAACGGTAATGCCGATACAGACCGACTCAACGACCACGTCCAAATGGCTATAGATTCCTTGCAACAGTAGATCCCATCCGTAGAGATCGTGATCCTCGGTGATTATAACGCCCACCACGCCAAATGGCTCGGTTAAGGTTTAACCGATCATGCGGGAAGATCTGTTAAACCTTAACCGAGCCATGAGAACCATGTTTTTGCCTTGGCATATGGTCTGACACAACGGGTTACTTCGCTTACGCGGATTCCAGATGTGGATGATCATGCGACTTCCCTGTTGGCCCTTCTGCTGACCTCTCATCCAGATAAATATCAGGTCTCTGCGGACCCTTGGCTCCTTGAACCATTGTCTAGTCTGGAGTGTGGTGCCATTCACACTAAGATCGCATTTGCATTCAGCAGGCTGTCGCCGTGTTTGGCACTATAGGTCGCCGATTGGTATAGGATGCGGTCCTTCTTTGCATCTTACCCTTGTGGGCGGGTTTTCTTCTTGCCGGACGATGCCAACGTTGTTGCTAATTCTGTCGCTGATGTGGTACTTCAGGCTATAGAACTTTTTATTCCTTCCTCTGTAGTGCCCATCGGAGGCAGATCTCAGCCATGATTTTGTCGCTCCTCTAAAATAGGATCACGCTATAAGCAGGAGTGCTACCGGGCCTGGGCTGAGGATTCAACGTCCCGGGATGTAACCACTAGCGCCCTTAAAAATAATTATAATTCCGCCTCCAGGTCCTTTAAAAGAGTCATTGCCAAGGCAAAGGCACACAACAGAATTGTCGAGAAACTAGTTCGCCTTCCTTCGAGAACCCGTGCATTCTGGTCTCTCGTCAGGGCTGTCCAAGGAAACTTCTGTCAGCCATATCGTCCATCTCTGCACAGGGAGGACGACTCACTAGCCCATGCCGCAAAGGAGAAAGCCGATCTGATAGGCTCTTTCTTTGCGTCCAACTCGACTCACGATGACAGGGGGAGCACACCGCCGACCATCCCGTGGTATGAGTGCTCCATACCGGATGTGCAATTAACACAGCCCTCGGTTCAAAAAGCACTCTTCACTCTGGACATTCACAAGTCAAGTGGGCCTGAAAATCCCTCCAATTGAGCTGATGACGTGTGATCCAGAGTTGGCACCGGTTCCAACGCGTCCTTTCCGGTACTCCTGCTCCCTAGGCGTAGTCTGAAAATCCCTCCAATTGAGCTGATGACGTGTGATCCAGAGTTGGCACCGGTTCTAACGCGTCCTTTCCGGTACTCCTACTCCCAAGGCGGAAGACGGCTTTCGTCCACCCGATCCCTAAAAAAGGCGACCACTCAGACCCGTCTAAATACAAACCTATCGCCTATTAACTGCCAGCTCATGCGGTACCTTGAGGACCACCAGCTGATTAGTCACCGCCAATACGGTTTTCGTTGGGATCGATCAATTGGTGATCTTGTGGTTTACTTGACTTATAGATGGACGGACGTAGTAGAGTCAAAGGGAGAGGCATTGGCCGTTAGTTTGGATATTGTGAAGACCTACGATCGGGTTTGGCACAAAGCGCTTCTTTCGAAGCTCCCTTCCTATGGGCTTCCCGAGAAATTGTACAATTGAATCACCAGCTTCTTGCAGATGCATCTTGCAGATCGAAGCATTTCCTTAGTTTCAAAGCACTCCCCTTGTTGCCTCAGCTAGTATCGGAATCCTCGGCGTCGACATATCGAGTGATGTGCAATTTCGTGTTCACTTGGAAGAGAAGGCCAAATTGGAATCTAAAAAGCTTGGCGAGTTCAGCAGAGCGGGACAGTATTTCATATCAGCACTCCGCCTGCCACTTTACAAGGCGTAGGTTCGGCATCACATGGTATACTATTCCCGTCTATGGGCTGGGGCTCCCCAGAGCTTTAATAAAAAATATAAAGCTGTGTTTGGTAACAACACAATGGTTTCCTTTAAGTTTTTTTTTAAGAATTTTTTTCCTTTTAAAAAATATCCAAGGACCACACCGCGCCGCCGCGACGCCGCCGCCGCCGAGGAAATTTTGATGCCACGCCGCCGCCGCGGAATTGGCCTTCGGCGCTCATATCTACATCCTAGTAATTAAGGATGGATGTAGGTGTCTATGGGCCACAGCATCCACTTACTACCAGGTGGACTATGTGCTCGCTTTTCAACCTTATTCTGTAAAAAATAGGAAAAGGCCATTTCCTTTTGATGCCTTCAAAGAAATTATATGATTAGCAGGCCAACCTGTAAAACAAGTGTTGATTACGCCTATATAGCATGCTTTAAAACATTTGCTGAAATTCATCATACATCGCAGGCGGGTAGGATAACGCAAACCCCTCGAGCTGATCAAGGGGCACGCTAAAAGCAGTTCGTTTGCCTAGCAGCTAGACAATGCTAATTCATGGTGGTTGAGCTAGGCCCTAGCTCAACCACCATGAATTAGCATTGTCCACAAATTCCGCTTTCTTTTTCAATGTATATGTAATGGCCAATGGTGTGGCCAATGGCCGTCGCGTCCATGCCAGTGTGCGCTTGCCTACTGGCATGGACGCCTTGTTTTTTTTACATGTTGCAAAAAACTGAAGATAAGTAGTTTTTTCGCAACCTGTTTCAGTTACTAATGCGTCGGAAATTTAAACAAGAGGGCCGTGTTGAAAGGTAAAATGCTGTCACCAGTTGAGTCAAAATTACTATTTAGACATTGTACCTATCGAGAGTCAACTCCTCCAGGTGGTTTAGATCGCAGGCGATGTACTCCAGAGCGTTATCAGTGACCCTAGGACACCAGCTGAGGTCGAGGCTTCGTAGCCGCGGCAAATTCTCGGCTAGCAGCTCCACACCCTCGTCTGTCACTTTACTGCAGCCGCTCAATGACAGCACCGTTAGATTTGGCAGCGAGTGAACTAGTAAAAGTAAAATATAAGCTATTAGTTTGTATTACAAAACCACATCAAAAGCACTAGGTTTACTATTGCAAAATGCTTGATGATTGATTGATGTGAATTGATAAAATCATTTACATAATTTGGTATTTACTGTGTTTATTTTTTAAAGTTCATTTTTTTTATTTAAATCACATAATTAATTTCATCATGGACATGAAATAGCGCTAAAAATATACGCGCAAACTCAGAGGAATTCACTCGTCCAAATCTACCTGTGGTATAAGGCTCATGCAATAGGGTTGGTGGTAGGCTAGGAAAGAAGCAGCGTTCTCAAATTTGTATACAACTATTTCATATATAAATTATACAATATGTAAAGTTGGAATGTACTCATAAATCGCTTCTATATGATACTATACAAGATACATTTGTTTATTTTTTTTTGTCTGATATTTTGAGGGTTCATGTCTGCCATTTTTATTTTATTCTGACGTAAGTTATGAACTCACGCAAATAATATGAATATGAAATCCGACGACTACATAGTTTACGAGTTATGGGCAGAGTTAGAAACGAACGGATATGATTATACATACTGGTATACAACCCAAGAATAATGTTTTGGACTCCCACGCAATCTGCTTAAAAATAAAACAAGTAAAACATTTGTTACCAATATTAACGATGCCGTGATTCGTAAGCTCCCAACAGCTATGAAGCCTTAGCACGCTTAGCGAGGCGCTTTGCTTTGGGGAGAAGTAGCCCAGCGCCGCGTCTGTCACGTGGTACGCTTGCAACGAGAATTCATAAAGCGATGGCAACAATTGCGCTACTGCACCTACCTGGAATCGTTTAATTTCAAATGTAGTATACAAAACAAAAAATGGCAAAAAATTAAGTTACTAGGTAACATTGATATATAATACTAAGCAATGAATTCCTAGTGTAGGAGTAAACTACTTCTGTTTTTGTACATAACGGTTTCGTAAATATACTGAGAGACGAAAGTTTATGTTATAAATTTTTTTTTTAATTTGACGTTTGAAACAAAAGCTTGGTCTTATGGCTCTCTTCTACAAAACGAATAGTTTGTGTGTCAGTCGCATTTACACATATGAAAATAACATTATTCTATAGAAATAGCTTAAAAAAACCTAATCTATACATTATGGTAACTTTAGCATGAGTTTTTAAATAAGCGTATAAAATATATTTCTTAAACATTTTCGAAATGTCTGTGATATATATTATGTTACTGTAAAAGCTAGAACTACGGTAAATCCTAAGATTTTCCGGTAGTACAAGTAGTAGTAGAAAAAACCTAAGATTTACCCAAATACGGGCTTTTACAGTACCATATACACATAAGTTTTACTTTATATTGTAACACTACTAGAGGCGTTCATTTGAGAGAGAATGAGTATGTTAAAGGTAATTTTTATTAAATTTTATTTTACTTTTCGACATAGTAATTTTTTCCTGTACTGCAGCAACTAACTACTGCTGCATCATCTTCAAATCTCTGTCCTCTCAGATACTCAGGTGCAAGGTCATCTCGCATTGCAGCCATCGCAACGGTGGACTTGTTAGCCGGGGCGTTATATTGGTAAAACAAAACAATCTTTGCGAGTTTGCCTCGCCGTTTCTCGCGGATTTCGTAGCGGATTTTTTTTATTTGTTCTGCCTAAAAAGTGCCTGCAATAGTAGCTTGACTATCTCACAAAAGAGAACCCATGGTAAGGTTACCGGCCGAAAAACGCCGTAATTTTATTAGGAGTAGATGATGGACTTTTTTAAGTCATAGACTTCTATTTTTTTCCAGGATCGTGATTGTTGAATCGTGAATAGTTGGTGCGTCTGCTAATAGTCGTTTAACTAATGAACGACTTGAATGCGTTGCATCGAGACGATGGTTTATAGCTATGCTATGATTCGACAGATGACGCTGTAGTGAAGCTATTAATAAATTCTAGATTTATAAACCAAAATGCCAAAAGCTTCACAAATTTGCCGTTAAACACTTAAAACAGTGGTAATATTTAATTTCTGAATGTATGAAATTCTATCCTTCTTGAAATTACTGTTCAGTTTTACAGTGGACAATCTGGCAGTTTAAGTCACATTTAAAGGAATGAGCGCAATTCTGTTTCTTATCTATCTATTTTTCAATACTTTGGTTTTAATATTTGGTTTTATAATACTATATCAAAATAATAATATATCTATGTCTTGTTAATGGAGGTTAGTAAGTGATTCTCAAACAGATTTTTCACTGAACATAATATTATGTAAAGTTAACATGAAATGTGATAATAAAAAAAAAAACATTAAAAAAGTAAAATAATAAAATACAAAATTCTTTAGTGATAAATTTGTCTGTCTTTTAAAGAAATCTATACTTACGGCTTCATCAGCTATGTTAATGCAATCAGTAAGCGTGAGTGAAACTATTCGCGGAGTTAGACATGCCCACAAACCAGCTTCTGTTATTTCATTGCAGCCTGTTAATTGTAATTCAAACAGAACCTAAAAATAAACATTTTGTTATAAGTCTTGAATAATTTAGGTTGAATTTTCATTGTTATCATCATATGAAACCAACCTGCAAATGATCTAATATAGCTTCCAGGCCCCGATCGGTTATGGTGCATCCTTTCAAAGCGATAGCATGTATGTGATGAGCAGAAAGAGGAAACTGTCTTATGAATTCGTTAATGTCGTCATCGGTGGCGGAAACGAGCACAACTCCCCTTATACCCCTTCTCACTATAGAATTGTAGAACCTCTGCATGCAGCAACCGGAGGCGGAACGTAGTTCACGGCAATCCAACACGGCGATCAGTCCATTCCACCAGCGCGGCGAGGAGTAGAGCAGGTCGCGCCACTTGGTGCAAACCTGCGCCAGCGTTCGCCGCTCGCTCGCGTTGAAGTATAGGAAGAAGTTTTGGAGGAAGCTGTCGTCGAGGACGAACTGCGGCCAGTACAGCGGGCGCGGCGCGGGGCGGCGGCGGCGCGGCGCGCGCGGCGGGGGCGGGGAGGGCGCGGCGGGGGTGGGGGCGGCGGCGGGCGCGGGCGCGGCGTGCGGCTGGCCGCACAGCGCGCTGGCCACGCGCTCCACCACGCCGGGCGAGCGCTTGCGGCCGCGCAGCCCCAGCCCGGTGATGCGCCGCGACAGCTCGGCGGACGCGCGCTCCACCACGCCCTGCGCCGACACCGACGACATCTTCACCCGCACGCGCCGGATGGTGTCCGCCGGCCGCCCGCCCGACCCTGCGCCGCCCGCACCGCCCGCGCCCTGCTCACAGCCCGCCACTGCGCTAAACATACACCATACACTCCAATTTATTCAATAATACTCTTTTTCTCTTTATTAAACTCGTAAATAGTACACTGGATGTTTTACATGAGGCATAGTATATGAAAAGGTAAGTAGTATTGTAGGTACTATTGAAGACCTTGAAATAAATTTCGCTGTTCCGTGCACTATATATAGTAAATAGTTAAGCACATGAGGCATTTCCTTAGCAAACAGCATACTATCGGCAATCAGCAACATGGTTTTTTGTCCTCATAGATCAACCAACTTGTCTTGCTTTTACCATCCTGGGTCACCAGTCAAAATGATCTCAATAGATGTTATATATCTGGATTACGAAAAAACTTTTGATAAAGTATCAATAGACAGGCTTTTGCATAAATTGGAATTTGTTGGTGTTCGAAGGAAATTGTTAGCTTGAGTTGAGGCTTTTCTACGGCAAAGAACCTTCAGAGTAAGTATTGGCGACCCATTCTTAGATCAAAAAGAAATACGAAGCGGTGTGCCACAAAAGGTTCTGTACTAGGACCAGTATTGTTTATATTGATTACCTTCTATCTACCTAAAAGCTTGAGTTGTAATGTAAGTATTTTCGCTGATGAGACAAAGATATTCGCAAACCCACTAGTGGACTTTGATAGCCTTCAAGCAGATCTAATTAAAATATCAGATTGATGTGGCGGGTGGAAGGAAAAGGGGGAGATCTTCTGCCCGGGGAGCGGCCAACGCTCCGATTAGTAGTTCGGAGCTATTCTATATATGTTGCTTTAACTTCAGAACTTTATAAGTGCGACTTAGGCTTCGATGTGTTTCACTTGTGGTGCGACGACAGCGCCGCCACATTGGTCAAAAAAGGGGCTTATTAAATAAAATACAAGTAAATGTACAGTCCTCCATATAGGAAACCGAAACACTCGTTTTATATATTAAATGGAGGATATACCTCTAGAAGAAGTTAAAGTACAAAAAGATTTAGTTGTGCATACAAGTAACAATCTAAAATGGGAACATGACATTACAGTGATAACTAAAAAAGCAAATAGTTTTATTTACCTTACTAGCTGTTCCCCGTGACTTCGCCCGCGTGTAATTTAGGGTTTTAATTATGTTGCGTGGAACCCTAATTATTTTTTTACCGTTTCGGAGATTAGCAGGAACAAACAGACAGACAGACAGACAAAAATTTTAAAAATTGTGTTTTTGTTATAACGGTACTATATATACTTTCATATGCATTTATTACAAAGCTGGTATTTTGACATTACAAACAGACACTTCAATTTTATTTATTTGTATAGATTAGAAAAACCTTCGGGCATCTAACACCAGAAATGATGCTAAAAATACATAAAACATACATTCGATCAATTTTGGAATATGCATTCCAAATCTCAAGCTTCTATTTCAAAAAGGATTTTGAGTTACTGGAGAAAGTTAAACGAAGATTTTCAAAAGTTCCTAAAGCATTGAAAAACATACCATATGAGGAAAGGCTGAATAAACTTAAACTAACGACACTGAAAGATCACAGAGAATGAGGAGACTTAATCGAAACATATGAAATTATACATGGCCACTATGATCTAGAAAATTTTGACAAAGATTTATTCCAGTACTCAAGAACACACATCTTAGGAGACATCACTTCAAACTAAAGTCTTGTTACATAATAACCCACACAAGCACTTTTTTAGCCAAAGAGTGGTTGAAGCATGGAACAAGCTGTCATCAGAAGTGAAATCTCCACAAGCTATTAACCAATTCAAGAACAGATTAGATAAACAACTAAAATAGAATAATTACACATTTGAAACTAGGATACGGGCTTAAATCAGTTGTTTCAACTGTGGGCCTGTTAAATAATAATAATAATAATACACCAGGAGCTCACTCTGAAATACAGTCTCGAGGTTCAGAAACTGCCTTATTATAAGTACTTGCCGGAAAGCATGCTTGAAAATGACCACGCCAGGTTCTACTGGGACCGGGCTATAATCACAGACAGGAATATTCTTGCGAATAAGCCTGATATTGTGCTGAAGGTCTCGGCACAGACAAGGATATTTTTGGTCAACATTACCATACCTTATGACAAGAACCTTGTGAAAGCCGAAACATATAACTAGGCAAAATATCTGGACCTGGCTCACGAGATGACCGACATATGGGGTGGTCTGCCAGCCGAAATTATTCCTGTGGTCATTTCTGCGAACAGACTAATCCCGGTCAACCTCTCAGGTCATCTGAAGCGACCAGGACTCCGTGGCAGACCACTCTGGACTCAGATGCAGAAGGCGGTGCTCCTCGATACTGCCCGCATCATCCACCAGTTTCTTTCCCTTTCTTCCTAACCCTCGGCTGTTTGATCGCCAAGGGCTTCCATCTGGTTGGGTTTTTATTTATTTATGTACTTTTATGTATTTATTTCATTTTATTGATATGTATGTATAATGTACATTTATCATTTTCATTTACATTTATATATTTATACAGCCCAACCAGATGAGAAAACTATATTGATACCCCACAATAATAATAATGTTGCAAGTGTATGCAATATCCAAAATCTGTATCTTGTAATATGATATGCCCATTATATGTAATAGTTAGAAAGTACCTTTAATACATTATATAAGAAACTTGAAGACAATTAAAATTCATTTTAATGTTAAAACAAATAAATTGTGATTTTACACAAATAATGCCAGGTGCCAGCAGCTAGCATTCCAATCCAAAGCATGTGAAACAGATTAATGATTAAAAATACCAGATATCTAGTGTAAGCATTTTATCACATGGTAAAGCCAGGCTGCTATAGCTTATGGTTGCAGCATAAGTAGGTCAAACCAACTTATGAAGGACTACACTCGCACAGAGAACCAGATACCATTTTTAGTAGAAACAAGGCATTTCAAATTTGTCCCCAGGATTTTGGCAACACATCTTTATTTTGATTGTTAATCAAGAACAGACATAGGTGTCAATGGGCCACAGCATCCACTTAAATATCATCAGGTGTCCTGTTTGGCTGTTTATCAACCTTAATCTATATTAAAAACCCTTGAAAACGGTTTATAAATAAATAAAAAAATATATTTGAGGAACACAAAGCAACGCAGCATGATTATATAATAAGTTATGTTTATAACAACTTTCACTGTCATAGGAATTATGTGCAAGTATTTAAAGGATTTATTTTGAGTATTATTATGGTTAACCCAAAAAATACATATTTAAGCTAAAAATAACATGGCAATTATGAAAAAAAAATTCAGATAACTTTATAAACCCAAAGATACATATTTGATATATTTAAGATAATACATATAAATATATTTATTATCTATAAAATAATAATCCTAAAGCCCAAAAACAGGATGAGTCTGCATCTTAAAGGAAATGATGCAAAAATAAGATGATTTTATGTTACATACAAACTAGAAAGACTTTGTGTACACAAGTAAGTAATAAAATAACTAGTTACAATCTCTTAGTTTAATATATTAAAATAATTAAAATAAGTTTCATTTAAAAACATACAAATAATCAAAAAAATCGATGCGAAATTGTACAAACCTATAAATATGACACTAAGATTACAACAGATTTCATTGCTTTTATATCAAAACATTTCACAATTCTCAAGCTTTTAGCCTGCACCATGAGAAGCAGCAAAATGTATTAAGTTACGCAAAATCACAGAACATTACCCTAGGCAAAATAAAAGACTCCAAAACGACGACGAACATCGACATCGAACAATCAAAATGACGCTGTCACAAAACACAATAAATTTACTTTTTTTAATTTATTACAAGACCATGGACACAGAGTCATCCAGTCAAAGTATTAAAGCTTAGTGTTTTTTTAAAACCATACGTGATCACCATCAACGTAGTCGCGGAGTCTTGGAATGTCCGTTAGATATGATCGGGGATCGTCTATCACTATGTAACGCTTCTAGCAAGTTGCGGGCATCCTCAGAACCCTCTCAGGCCCCACACCACCTTCAAGACATCGTCCCCCTCATGAGTCATATAACTAGGCACTCGGCGCCACCGCCCCAGGCACCATAAGCTCCTTTATTAAGACAAAACTTAACAAGCTTCAAAACTTTTCCACCCGCAAATATGATCACGTTTCCGAATATCGAAATAGGTTCAAGTGGTAATTAATATATTCGCCATCGCCAGAACGCACGAATATTATAAAATACTAGCTGTGCCCCGCGGTTTCACCCGCGTCATCACGTGTCCGAGGTGCGCTACATGACCTAGTTCAAGCATTTTATAACGGCTAGGGTTTAAACGTTGTTCGCGCGCCCAGCCAAGTATTGAATTATTTTAATTTTACATTATCTCTTAAACTATGCGTTCAAATAACATGGTATAAAGAACAAAGTTTATCTTCATAAAATTGTCTTCATGATGAAGTAACTTTCGTTCGTAAGGATAAATAGGCCATGCCTAATAATAACGCTCATAAATCACTTTTAAATTTTCAATATTTTTTTGTTACAAAATACCAAATAATGGCTTATGTATAAGAAATAGACATATGGTATCGCGGACTTTTTTTTAGACGGAGTGAAGGTCTATATTTTTCTGAAAGATTGTAGTTACGTATCCCTAACGATAACACCAGCGTACGCGGATAAATCATTTCGGGAGTGCTTTTTCTTCTGACTTTACTTTACTTTACTTATCTTCACGCACAATCCCTAACGGGGTAGCCAGAGAGAACAGATCGCCAAGTGTCACGATTCTTACAAACCTCTTTCGCTTCTTTCAGATTCATTATCTTCTTCATGCATGCACGTCTAGGTATCCGAGTACTCTTGACCCTACCCTCTTCGAGCAATTTGCTCACATGGTCTTCGAAAGTTAGTCTCGGTCTACCTCGACACC